AGAGGTCAAAAGAAATATAAATTGTGAACTCCACCGAGTTTCTGGGAAGAGAAAGGGCTCCCAAAGACCATCATTTCCTACACCTAATCCAGTCTGACTCTTGGGTTCAACTGCTGATAGTGACTTGGACTCCTCTGCCTCCTGCAGCAAGGGAACATTTTCATTGTGGACTATGAGCTGCTGGATGGAATTGATGCCAACAAAACCGACCCCTGCACACACCAGTTCCTGGCTGCGCCCATCTGCCTGCTGTATAAGAACCTGGCCAACAAGATTGTCCCCATTGCCATCCAGGTAGGCTGCTTATCTCTAGCTTTTCTGGACCTCTCTGCCCTCAGAGGTGGATGTGGGGATGCGGGACCTGGGGAAGGAATTTCCTAAGCAGCTTCATGTGCATCTCCAGGAGGGGAAGACAGCTCTGCCTTGTGGTCTAAGGAAGGTGCTGAAGCTGAAGGAAAAATAAGACATTAGAACTTTTTGCCTCCTCCAGGGAGGAAGAGAGGGCTCCATTCTCCCAGACACACTTGAGAAATCTCTAGCAGGGTGAGACATGCTGTTGAGGATCTGCCCTGGAATGATAGCACCCTAGCCAGGGCATCAAGTCAAGATGCCCATAGGGGTCATGTAGGTGAAGTTGTGAATTGATCTGGAGATTGAGGCCACCAATAGGCACCATGGGCACGAATGTTAGGAAATGGGACAGCCCTGGGACACTTTCCTTGATGCCTAAGGGTTCTTGCATTCTCAAAGATAGTGAAGGATGGGGGAAACGGTCTGGGGAAGAGGCAGTTCTGCACACGGTTTCACCTGCCCTGCACAATGGGAGCAAGTACATAGACAGCAGGGATCAGGCCCAGAACATGCTGGACAGGACTAAATGTTGGCCACTGGGGGCTGGGGGAGGGACTGTGCAGGGCCCTATATGGGGATGGGAAGATGCACATTCAGCAAACAGTGCCTGAGCACTGGACACTGGATGCTGAGCTCATTGTGGCAGTTGGATTTGTCATGCACTAACCATACTCCAAGACTATCTAGGGGTCACCTGCCCAGTCCTCAAACCCTTACTCTCAATTTAGAAATCTAAAAAGTACTGAAACTGCATGTATTTCAAAACCTTATAGCAAATTCATAGGCTGCAGATAAACCTTCTCTGAACCAAAAAGGAAAGCCATTTAGAGTTTCTCCCATTCAATGTGATATGCAAATGGATCACCACAGAAATTGTATTGTAATATAAAATATTATGTTGCCCCAGACCCAGAGAAGTGGGGCAAGTCACCTAATGAAATATACATACTGATAAAATTCTAAAATCTTTTTAATTCTAAGGCACTTTGGCCACTGGGGTTTCAGATAGAGAATTGTCTTCATCCATGTAAATCATTTCCTCAGATAAGGAAATTGAGGCACAGGTGCACACTGTCAATCAGAGTGCTGGGATTCAAGCCATGCTCCTCCAGTCTTCCAGAGGCACAACCTCCACCCCAAGGAGCCCCCAGTGCATTATCAGAGAGAAGCCCTATGCCTGAGAAAGAGAGGCGGAAGGGACAGGTGACATAGGGAAGAAATCATCATTGGGAGATGCCAGAAGAGGGACTGGTTGCCACTGACATATACCTCCAGAGGAGCCTGTCCGGTCAGAGGAGTGGCTTAAATCCCAGCTCTGCCACTTGACAGCAGACCCTACGACTTGAGCAAGCCATAGGAGCTTCTGAGTTTCTTTCCTCTCCTGAAAATTTCAAACTTTGCAAACTATAAAGACCCAAGTGATACATAAAAGTACCAAAGGGAATTTCACCCTTATGTAAATGTAGAAGAAAGAAAGTTTCATGGATTAGAGGAGGGAAAACAGGGAGAGGCAGGAGGGAACAAAAAAGAGGGTGGGAAATGAGATTGGAATCAAATTCTTTGTATGTATGTATGATTTTGTCAAAATGAACCCAAATACTATGTATACTTATAATGCTCTAAAACAAAACATGTAAATGAATGCCAGAGAACCATAAATATGAAATCTGGTTCTCTGAGAGTTTTTTTTTCTCTTATCATTAGACTGATGGGAAAAAAGTGGAGAGGGCCTAGCTCAGTAGTAGAGCTCCTGGCTTCTAACCCACCCCAAAAACAAAAAGAAAAGAGAGAAAGTAAAATATACAAGAGTAGAAATAAGAAAGGAGATAAGACAAAGAATACTTGTCATTATAGATTTTTTTAGAAAGAGTAATTGTATGACAACAAATTTGGAAAGAAAAACTAAAGAAAATTATAAAAAGCTTGGGAAATATAAATTAGAAGAAACTGGAAAACAACCCAGTTTCCATATAACAATAGAAAGTAGATTAAATGTCTATAGACTGGTGCAAGGTCAGTATGCTGAGCACCTAGGTTTTAGCAACTCTTTAAACAACAAATGTTTCCAAAGCTCTTTGAGGTATTGGTATGTCCTCAAATTCATTCTTC